GTAGAGGCCCAAAGACCCTTGCACCTTGTGCAAGCTGCCAGGCGGGGTGCACCCCAGCCGCGGCCCTGAGATTGACACCCAGGCGCTGGCCAGCGCGCAGGGTGCAGCAGGCCCACCCCGGAAACCCAGCTGCTGAGTCCCGGGCTTCAGAGGATGGAGATGGCAGGTCCCAAGGTCAGGGCCAGAGCTGCACCCCCTCTGCCCAGCGGCTGCAGGTGCAAGGCAATGGAGACGGAGCCCAGAGCCAGCTCCGGCCAACACACGTTGCAGTTCCAGGTGCAAAAACACATAGTAGATGCCGGCCTCAGACACCACCAGCTCCTGTGTGTGCTCATCGTAGCTCAGGCCCGGTGTCAGGAACACACCTTTCAAGCCAGGATCACTGTACCAATGCAGGAGCCCTTTTGTCAGCAGCGCTGCAAGAGGAGGAAGGGGGGAGGGTTATCCTGAGCAAGGATGTGGCAGGGGCACAGCCTGGGGAGGGGGTGGAGGGGCTCTGAGGACAGAAGGGTTCTCAGAGGGAGGAAGGGCTGGAGGATGGAGGGAGGAAGGGACAGGAAGAAGGGGGGAGGCTGTCTGGAAGAGGGAGTGGGAGGCTGTCAGGAAGAGAGGGGGGAGGGGGGACACGGAGAGGGCTGGGGGTGGAAGCTGAGAGACTTTCAGGAACAGGAACCTGCAGGAGGATGTGCGATGCAAAAGGGGATGGGAAGGGGAGGGTAGGGCTAGGGACTCGGGGGTGAAGGAAGGGGGTTAGAGAGGAAGGTGGGGGGAATGGGACAGCATGAAGGAGGGGACTTAGAAGGAGGAGGGAAAGTGGGCGGGGTGTCAGGAAGGGTGTAGAGAAGAAAAGCAGAGATTGGGAGGAGAGTCTAAAAGGGGCAGGGGAGGGAGGTCTCTGGAAGGAAGGCGGGAAGCGAGTGGGAAGGAGAGGGTGAACTTCCCAGAGGCCAGTGGGAGAGACCAGAGCAGGATGGGGTTTGGGGATCCCGCCCTAGGCCTGAGCGGGTGGGTTTTAGTGGGCAGATGGAAGTCAGCTGAGAAGCAGCGGGAGCCCAGAGAGACAGGTGTAAATGGCATAGAGGGGAGAAGACAGCTTTCAGAGGGAAGGAGTCG